ATATGAAAGAGCAGGTTCACTTGGGAAGTAAAGAAGGAAGCAAAGCAATAGAGTAGCTTTATTAATTTGAGCCACTAGAAAGCGAATTTGAAGAAGAAAGAATTGAAGACCAGGCTTTGTTAGAAAAACAAAATGCATTGGGCAACACTTTTTGAGTACTATACTATACTGTCCTAATCTAGGCCTGACGGACTAGGCCTAGACAGGGTAACAGTACGAACACTCGTCAGCGTACGATGGTTAATATTATTAGTAATAATATACATTGTTTACGTCTAAATTAGCTTACATTCTGTATATTAAAGCTTATTTTGAAAAATTTTTACATTACAATGTAACGTACGAAGCTGAAATTTGATGTACAGTATTGTACACGGCCTACGCCTTCGATGATGATAATAAACAAGCCGATACGGCGATCATCATCACATCACATTGTAAATTGCCTGATTGTTTTTCATGTTATCGACTACAATAAAAAGCTAAATTTATTATTTTGGTGGTTGTTATTATGTTGATATACAAACTGTGTGATACTCACTAATATTACAGGCCTCGAAATTGGTAGGGCCTACGAAAGGACCATGGCAAAAATTGCCGACGTAAATTTGACATTACTCGGCAGTTTTTTGTATTTTGACCCAAATAACACAAAACGTTTTGAATTGGTTTTAGTTTGGGTTTGGTTTTTGTGAAACGTATGCTTTCTGATAGACTTTTGCACCAAAACGTTAAAAAACGTTCAAAAAACGTACGCAAAAAACTTGCAAACAAGTGTATAAAACAGAACGAAATCACAACGTTCTGTAAACGTTATATCACAACCAAATTTTCATCTATTTTCACAAAAATTGTTATCGTTTTTAAAAAACGTTTTAAAACGATTTTAAAACATCGTTGTGTAAACATTGCCTTTTGATTGCAGATTGTTTGCACCAAAACGTTCAAAAAACATACGCAAAAAACTTACAAACAAGTGTATAAAATAGAACGAAATCACAACGGTTACAGAACGTTATATCACAACCAAATTTTCACCAAAATTGTTATCGTTTTTATAAAATTTTTCAAAAACGATTTTAAAACGTCGCTGTGTAACATTGCCTTTTGGTTGCAGATTGTTTGCACTAAAACGTTCCCAGAACATTATATCAAATCCAAATTTTCACCAATCGTCAGAAAAATTGTTATCGTTTTTATAAATCGTTTTAAAAACTATTTTAAAACGTCGCCATATATTGCGTTTTAATTGCAGTTTCCTTGTACAAAAAAATTTATAAAAAGGTTAAAATAACGTATGCAAAATACTTACAAACACGTTTATCACAAATAAATCACAACGTTCACAGAACGTTATCTCGCAACCAAAAATTACCACCACTTCATTCCAGCCATTATTTGCATATTTTAGAAAGACCAAACGTACCCAATGCTACGCCCAAACAATTATCATAGGTAACAATCAAATTTAAACCAATTATTCGGGATAATTGTTTTCTTTAATTAACTTTAACACATTAATCTATGTGAATAAATCTACGTGGTCACCGTCATCATCCATGCATTTACATAAAATATGAGTCTTAGCCACGTATAAAATTTACTGATTCGTCAACAAGCGTCACGTGACAATTTATCTACGCGAACGCGCGCGACCGTTGACCGATTGCCACTTTGCGCCTGTTTTTCGTTAGATGTAGGCTATGTGACGTCCGTTTTCTGCATTCAACTTCTGCTGATACGTTTAGAACCCCAAACTTTTAATCTGAACGTAATGATTTTATGAATCTGTGGAAGGTAAGTTTATTATTTGATATACGTTAAAATGTCTTTTAGAAAAAATACACAATAAAAAACACGTCAACCAGCCAAAGCCGTAGGCCTAGGCATAGTGCCTAGGGGGGGGGGGGGGGGCAGGCCTGTGCTAGGAAACTAGCCAGAGCCCTGGCCTAGGAAAACACGTCAACTAGCCAGAGCCCTAGGCGTAGCCAGAGAGTTATAAATATATTTAGGAACAGATTTGCTAGCGAAAGGAGCACAAAGGCGCACTGGGAGCTAAGGGTCCAAAGCTCATGCCCTCGGGGAAAAAAAATCCGTTTTCTACAATAGTTTGTTGGTATGACGTCAGGCTTATTGGTTTTGTCATGGTTCAATCTAAATTCGGATAGGCCAAGGTCTACAGTTATCCAGTAGGCCTAGGCTTAAGTGTATATTAAGCTGCGAGTTATTTAATTACAAATGTTCCTTTTCATAGTTTTTTTTTTAAATCAAGAACAAATGTGGGAATTTCATGATGGATGAGGCAAGTGCCTTGTCTGTCTCATGCTAGCTACGGCCCTTACTTGCCCCGGTACTGGCACAAATGCCTAATCTAATTATTTTTACTAGTGATTCTTATTAGGCATAGGAACTTTTTGAAAGTTCTAGGCTCTCAAAAAGATGAAACAAACTTCTTTATGTTAATCTTTAATTTCTAAGGATCATGTGGGGTTTATTTTCCCCTTGTATTTATATTATTATTAATTAAGTTGACGATGTTTATCTATGGATGTAAAGTCTGAAATAAAGAATAATGAATAACGTTTTCGTATTTTTCATGAGATTTTTTTTTAGTGTAAAATCCTAAATTAATGTCATCTACTTGAGAGCTACCTAATTGCTGTTTTTGACATGAATTTAAACTGAATAAAAAGTTAGGTTTTGAATACATTCCTTAGCTATGATTAACACAGATACACTAGCAAGTTGCTAGCTATAATATTACAGTTAAGATTTGCAAGTCTGCTTTCAGTATCGGAACAGGTCACGATGTCATAATCCACCATTTTGATTGTGCTGAATACTATTTTTGTATTTCCTGTATGACTGCTCATTTGTAGATTTTATATATTAATTGTTTATTAACTTTTTTTTTAATTAATACTCTTTTGGTTGATGCCATTAATTGATAATATGTTTACTTTTAGTTACCAGTGGCCTGAGGGAAGAAAGTTCAACAACATTTTAGGCATGTCCACCGTTCTTCTGTAATGGCACTGTGTATGCAGTATTACATCTTTATCTTATTATTTTATAATATTACGTCATTGTTTGATAATTATTGAAATGGTGGGCTATCAGCACGATATGTTAACCTTGTATGTACTGTATGCGTATGTTTATCATTCCATAATGATCACTTCAAACAGTTTAATTACCTATCGCATTTTCATTTATTATTTTCATTATATTAACTAATACATTGATTTAGAATGGGAATTAAATGTTTTAAGGATGTCCTGTATCGCGGTTTTCAGACTAGTTATTAGAAGGTTTTAAATTACCATTATAATTTTTACTTACCTTATATTATATGTTCATAAATATTTCAAAGTATAAATGTGTTTATATTCTAATCTTCAATCTGTTTATATGACTAATATTCAGCAGTCAAATAATATATTAACAAGGGCATATCATACATACGTTTGTAATAAAACCTATTGAGTTGGTGTTACCTTAGTACATTGTGACTGAACTTTATTAAAATTATTTATAGTTTTTATAGCTGTTATATAGCAAATATTTTACTATGAGATATTCAAAAGCATATGTTTGGTTAAGTCAAGTTTGACAGTAATGAGAAATCACTTCACTTCAGAAAATAATACTAAAACTCATCCTACATGTAGAAATATTAATTATAAAAAGCAAAGTAGGCCTACTGTAAATTAAATAGACACATTTTTGTGTTCACTTTTTACAGAAACTTTAGTAAGTTTGTAATAGTTTGTTTGTTTGTAAGTTTATTGGTTCTGATACAACTTTCTACTCCGCAAATGGTTCCATTGTGACAGAACAGCTAAACATTTCCTCTGTCAAGGCTTGATCCAGAAACAGTGTAGCCATCTGTTTTCTCAGTATCCTAGGTGTGCACTATGGAGTTTTTGTACACTAGGCCTCTTGTTTATCTTCGATATTTGTTTGACATTTTTGAAATTAAATAAACTTGTCAACTACTGAATAGACATTTTTGAAATTAAATAAACTTGCCAACTACTGAATAGATGATATGGAACTTGATCTTATAGTTACTGTACTTACAGAAATAGATAAGAATTGTAAACACTTGACTCTAACTTGATTTTGATTTTTGATTTTTTTTTTTTGATATTTATTATTGTATATCATTTTGTCCTATATTGAAATGGAGATTTTGCTAAACTATGTTATGATTGAATGGTGTTGCTAGGCAACGTGAGCTCAAGGAAGGACTCGACTCGAAAGACTATGGAGCAATAAAGGCGAATAATGATATAAAATCTGTGTAGTTGCTTGTATATTGGAGTCCAACTTGTAATAGGTACATTGACGACGAGGAATTAAATTCGAATCGAGGATCCGAATTGTCGGCAATACGGGGAATCAACCAGTTCGACGAAACCGGGGAAGCCAGCGTCGTGAGCGTACGATGGAAAGCATGGCTGGAGGAATTCGAAGCCTATGCGGACAGCCGAGGTTTGGTTTTGAATAAAGCCACGCAGGCACAGGCAGCTCAGAGGAGAGCTTTGTTGTTGTATAACGCCGGTGTAGACGTCCGAAATACATTCAAAACACTTGCTGATACAGGAGAAAAGGATACTATCAGAATGCGGTTGATGCATTAAATAACCATTATAAGGTGAAAACAAATGCAACTTTTCATAGACATGTATTCCGACACATGAAACAAAGTGATGGAGAAACGGTGGCGCAGTTTGTTACTCGTTTGAAACGGGCATCAGAGGAATGTGAGTACAACACAGATAGGGACAATTAAATAAGTGACCAGGTTGTTCAGCATTGTAGGGAAACAGAAACATTAAAGATTGCTTCGACATTTGAAGCTGTATAAAATAAATTTCAGGCTATGAAACTGGAAGATAGGCAGAGTGCAAAATCACCCAATAACACTATAAACAAGATCGTAAGCAAGCGAGACAAAGATAGACTAAAGTCAAAGACAGGTGAAACTGTAAAACATGGTAGAGAATGATTCAGATGTGGAAATGTGGGACATTTTGCACGAGATTCTTGTTGTCCTGCAAGAGGAAAATTATGCTCAGCATGTGGAGGAAAAGATCATGTTACAAAGAAATGTAAAACTAAGCCTGGTAAAAAGTTAGCACCATGGACAAAAGGCAAGAGAAATGACAGTACTGTCCGTCAGTTAGAGGATGAAGACAGTGATCTAGATGATGGGTATGTGTTTGCTGTTAATAGAGATTATCATCATGAAAAAGTACAAGTAACAATAGGCGGAGTTAACGTAAATACTATTGTTGATTCCGGAAGTGACTGTAATGTGATAGATAGAGCATTGTGGGAAGAGATGAAGAGTCAAAGAATTGTTTGTTTACAGGCATCAAAGAAATGCACAAGGAAAATAATATGCATATGCTTCTAACAAGCCTCTTATAGTTGCAGGATGCTTTACAGCAGTTGTGAAGGCTGGTGATAGGAAAGTCACGACAGAGTTTGTTGTGATAGAGGAGAAAGGTGAACCAATCATGAGTAGTAGAACGGCACAGGAGTTGGGTGTATTGCATATTGGATTAGGATTAAATGCAGTTAAGTCATGTGAAGGTTTGAGACGGGAGTATAAACCAGTATTTAATGAGATTGGAAAATTGAAAAATTGTCAAGTGAAATTAACCATTGATCCAAGGTTTAAACTAGTAGCTAAACCAGTAAGAAGGACACCATTTGGTTTGAGACGCAAAGTGGAGCTAAAAATTCAAGAATTAACGGAAAAAGATATTATTGAACCGGTTGAAGCTCAACACCATGGGTAAGTCCTGTGGTCATTGTACCAAAACCTAACGGAGACATACGACTATGTCTCGACATGAGACAGGTGAATGAAGCTGTCATGAGAGAACGTCACCCTATACCTACAGTTGATGAAATTCTCCAGGAGTTATCGACCAGTAAGGTGTTTTCGAAATTGAACTTGAAATGGGGCTATCATCAATTGGAACTTCATCCAGAGTCAAGAGAGGTGACAGCATTTGTGACACACTGTGGTTTGTACAGGTACAAGAGACTGTTATTCGGCATTAATGCGGCACCAGAAATATATCAGCATGAGATTCATAAGGTAATCCAAAGGGGTACCTGGAATATTTCTGATGACATCATTGTATATGGATCGACACGTGAAGAGCATGATGAAAGACTGAAGTTGGTACTTGGAAGGTTGCAAGCGGCTGGTCTAACAGTGAAAAGTGTCAATTTGGTGTATCTGAGATGATATTTATGGACACAAATTAACTAGTGAATGCATCAACCAGCCAAACCGAAAATAAGTGCAGTAACAGAAGCTTTGTGAACCACGGAACGCGAGTGAAGTAAGGAGTTTTCTAGGCTTGGTCAATTACTGCGCTAGGTTCATACCAGATCTTGCTACAGTGGCAGAACCTCTCCGAAGGTTGACCAGGAAGAATGAACGTTTTGTATTTGGGGAAAGACCAACAGAAGGCTTTTAATCTGTTAAAAGAACGCTAAGTAGTGCTCAAACATTAGGATACTATGACATAACAGCAACCACCAAGGTGATAGCAAATGCAGTCCGGTGGGTTTGGGTGCTGTGTTGGTACAGATACAAGCGGGACACCCTCGAATGATAGCATATGCCAGTCGCTCATTATCAGAGGTGGAGAGGCGGTATTCACAGACGGAGAAGGAGGCCCTAGGACTTGTCTGGGCATGTGAACGATTTCATGCTTATCTGTATGGTAAGGAATTCCAGATCACAAGCCACTGGAGGTAATGTATTCAAAGCGGTCAAAACCGTGTGCCAGAATTGAAAGATGGGTCATACGTCTGCAGCAATACAAGTATAGAGTAGTGCATATACCTGAAAAGAGGAACATTGCTGATGCGCTGTCAAGGTTGGTGAAACAGGATGATAGACAGATTTCTCATTTGGAAGAGGAAGCAGAATCATTTGTCAGATTCGTTGCGTTGATTGCAACACAAGTAGCAATGACAACTAAAGAGGTAGAGAGAGAGAGTCAGCGCAGGATTCAGAGATTGCGGACATCAGACAGAGAATAAACAATGGTGGATGAGACAAATGTTCATACAAAACATATGTCGCTGTGAAAGATGAACTATGTTCAATTGGGAGGTGTGTTTTAAAGAGGAAATCGAATCATAGTTCCACAGAAGCTGAGACCAAGAGTGGTTATGCTGGCCCATGAAGGACACTTGGAAATTATTGGTACAAAGCAGAATTTGCGTACTAAAATGTGGGGGCCAAGAGTTGAGAAAGATGTGGAGAAATTTGTAAAAACGTGTCATGGTTCTCAAATTACTGCAAGAGCCAATGCACCAGAGCCGATTAGAAATACAACGTTGGCAATGGGACCATGGCAAGATTTAGCATATTTTTTAGGACCATTTCCCTCTGGCGAATCGGTATTAGTCGTCATGGATTACTACAACAGATATTATGAATATGCCATAATGAAATCGACAACAGCTGAAAAGACTGTAGCAGCGATGAGAGAAATGTTTGCGAGACATGGCTTGCCAGTCACCCTTTACTCGGACAATGGCCCGCAATTTATTTCTCAGACATTTTCTGAATTTATGGAAAAGATGGGGGTGCGTCATCACCGTGTTACTCCAAAATGGCCACAGGCCAACGGAGAAGTAGAAAGGCAGAATCAATCACTGGGGAAAAGGATAAAATTGCCCATGCCGAAGGGAAAGACTGGAAAGATGAAATTCTAAATTATGTAGCAGCATACAGGGCAGTACCTCACACTACGACAGGGAAAATCCCAGCGGAGTTACTGTTTGGACGGAAATTGCGTACTAAACTGCCAGAAGTGAACGATGTTGTAGTAGACCAAGAGGTTAAGGATGTTGGCCAAAATGTATGCTGACAAAAAACGTCATGCTAATGAGCCAGAGATAATGCAGGAGATAGTGTGTTGCTCAGACGAGATACACAAGGCAAATTGGAAACTCCGTTCATTCCAGATCCATACATTGTAATTGCTTGGGACGGGAATCGGGTGGCGATACAGTCACCCGAGGGAGTTTGCTACGACACAAACACTTCACATGTTAAGAAGTATCAACATAGCAAAACTCCAGAGATGTTAAATATAGAAAATAGTTCTAGTCCAGAAGAGGTGGATCAGAGAGCGAAACCTAACGATGAGGTTGTAGTGACAGGAGAAGTTGGGGAAGTGGCGAGAGCAAGTAGAAGAACAGCCTACGCAAAGTGGGATAGAGACAGTGGCTCCGCAGAGAAATTACAAACAGCAGAAAGGAGGCAATTATTGGCCATCTTTGATTAATGAGTAAAATTTTATGATTTGTAGTAATTACACACTGATTCAAAATAATTATCAAAGTCAACTATATAAAAGAAATCACACAAAGAGACTGTAATTTGAACTGAAGCGAGTTATAGTATTTTACATGACACTCTGATAATGACAATATCAATGGCTAATACAAACGGATAAAACACTATGATTATATGAATAGGTTTGTTCAAATAATGTTTAAAGGTTAAAACTGAAGTTTAAAAGTTAGTTAATACATGTTAAAGTTAAAATATTTCAAAAAGTTGTTCTGGGAATGGATTTAAAATAATTTTAATTCAATTGGGGAAGGAATGTTATGATTGAATGATGTTGCTAGGCAACGTGAGGTCAATGAGGGACTCGACTCGAAAGACTATAGAGCAATAAAGGCGAATGATGATATAAAGTTAAATCTGTGTAGTTGTTCGTATATTGGAGTCCAACTTGTTATAGTGACAAACTACAGTATAACAAAGTACAGTACACTATTAAACATTAAAGGATAAACGCATAACGCAACGCAAGTGTAAGTAATGTTGTATTGTTGACCTCTTTTGTATCTTTATCCTGGAGCATCACAATTAACACGATGTAGTTAGAATCATACATGTGACCAGAGGCCGACCTAAGGATATCCATGGTTCAGTGTACAGCATTTGTTCAAGTTTTGAAAACGTCTTGGAACACCAATCCAACTCAAACGTTTTACCGTTATTTTGATGATTTTGATTTTAAGAATGTTTTAAAAACGTTTAAAAACATCAAAATAACGTTATAATGACGTTTCTGAATGTTAAATTGAAACGTTATTAAAACGATTTAAAAACTCCACATAAATACGTTTTTTAATACGTAATACTATAACGTTTTACAAACGTAATAAAAACCATTTGTAAACGTTGTTAAAACGTTTTAAAAAGGCGATACAAGACCAAAGTCGATGTAACCGAGGTTATTTTACGTTATAACATTTTAAAAACATAAATTGAAACGTTGTTAAAACGCTTTTAAAACTTCACAAAATTACGTTTTTGAAACGTTTTATTTAAACGTTTTTTTAACCAAATTCATACGTTATTACAACTTTTTTTAACGTTAAATTGTTGGCTGGGGAGTTTCAGCAGGGTTCAGACAGTATATGAGTGTACACATAAATTCGTGGTTTACGAAAATAAAATATTTCCAAAATTGTGTATTTGTAAAAAAAAAAAGGAATTTCTATTTTTTTAAAAGCCATTACTGAAGAACACACGATCGAATCGGACGGCAAATAAACGCACATGGGGAATCCCCGAATTGGTTCGCACCTTAACTCTTGTAAACAGTTACGACTCAAAATTGAACCACGAGGTGGGCCACGAAGCAGGATTGACTTTTGTGTTTATGTAAAATTTTAATGTAGTATGTATTTCAATGACTAAACAATTATTAAATCATTGTGTTAAGCCTGTATTTTATTGTAGGATAAATCATCACAACAAAACAAATAACATTTTAATTTCATTCAAACACATTTATCAACATCGTCACAAAACGTCCAAACACTGTTAAATCGGGTCGAGCCGGCCCCAATCGAGCGTCGGCGAAGAACATCTAAAGAAAGACCATGTTGTAGAGAACAAGTGATCCGCCCTATGTTTAAAGCAAGAAGTAAACATGAACCTCGTCCGCCATAATATAGTATTATGCGTGTATATTTTTTTGTAAGATACTGTAATTAACTCCCTAATCAACACTAATATTAAGTCAAAACAAATTTGTGGCGAGCGGCCCCGACCGAGAAAGACTACGTTGTAGAGAACACGTGATCCACCTTACTACGACCTATTCTAGCAAAAAGTAAACAACCTCGGCTGTCATAATAACATATAGGCCTACAGTAATATATGCGTGTATTTTGTGTAAGATATTTAATCATCATGAATAAAGTCAAACAAATAGTTTTAATGTTTTATTCAAACACATTTGTTGTATGTAGCGAGTACGGGCTCGGTGGTATGGGGTGAATGCAGAGAATAGGACCTAGCAATACCTAGGACTACTCGCATCCTCGCTCTTACGTTGTGGTCATAACTGATTCCGACGCTAATTTCGGAGTAGTGCCAAAGTGCGAGCCAGCGAGTCATGCGAGCCAATGTGCGAGTCATGCGAGCCAGCGAGCTATGCGAACCATACATTTAATTTTTTTTTCAGGTTATCCAGTTTTGTAAACACGTAGGCCTAGCCTATTGTCTTTGGCCTAGTAGATGCAAATGAATAACACATTGGGGAGCTTTGCCTGTGTAGTCCAGTCATGCGCAGTACATATACTTTTGACTTTTTCGAATCGTCGATCCGAAAGTATGCAGCGCTGATAGATGATGTTAAAATACAGATATACAGATACATACATACAGATATAT